ACATTTTACTGCGGTAAAATGCCTTTACGTTTTTTTAAAAAACCATTAAACACTATTCATTTTTTAATCTTCTTTGATTTCGTATAATGTTTCGTTTGCGTGGTAACTTTATATTCTGAGACTATTTTATGGTTAAATAATAAATTTAACATTCATTATAGTTTATGCATACAAAAACGATTTACTCCACGAACAAAAAATAATAGCGTTTTGGTATTTTCTCGAACTCATACTGTTATACTTTCACACTTTCACTCTTATGATTTAATCGTGTTCTATCGTACTTATGGATTTTTCATCATTTATAGATATAGATTTCAGAAACGTTTATAGCTTACAAATAGGCTTCATATTATCTTCTTCGAAAAATTCGTAATAATTATCCAGTTTTAAAATAAACAAAAATATTCATGTAAACTTTAAATTCATGAAGTTATAGATTTCTTATTTTTCCTTTCACAGCGTTTAATATTGCAATTCACTAATTTTACAGAAACACTATGATAAAAATAATAAAAATCATTAGGTATTTCTTAACATTAAAATCATAAAAATATTGTCTGAAGTAACGAAAGATTAAAAATAAATAGAAGTATTTCTAAAAATGATGACACAACCATAACATCGCCTTAATTAATGGATAACTCATCATTCAATTAATCTTACCTATGAAAATTTTCTATGTCAGTTAGTGTGAATAGCTATCAATAGTGTATCCGTGATTTGGATAATGACATGCCGTTGTGGCAACTTTTGGGATTAAAAAAGTAATAATATTTATAATAACATCATAATCTATTTTAAATATATTAAATGGTGTTACATGCAATGAAACAGTAGTTTTGATGACAATTCGGAAATATTTGGCTTTTAATAAAGTATACATTTGTTCTTCAGCAGCGGTTACCGCACAGTCTGTCATTAATTAAATGCGACGAATATGTTGAGTTTGGGGTATCTCGAGACTTTTGTCAGTATGTACCTATATGTGTCAAATAAACAAATTGTTACTATATTTAGTATCAGTGAAGGGATGAAACAAAAAATAAAATTATACTTCAGTTTATTGTGCAAGAAAATAAACAAATCGAGAGAAAGAGAAAAAAAGAGAAAGACAGATAAAATATAGGAGCATCATTAGGGTCGAAGAAAGTAAAGAAGATCGTATAGTAAAGGTCCGCACTGCAGTATCTTTCGTTCTTTATTATAGATCATTTCATCTCTCCTCGGACACGTCAAACTTTCACACGCAATACTCTCCGAAAATATAATATACCAAATGACCTGGCTAGAAACGTTTAGTTTATAACAGACAAAAAAAAATAATAATAATAAAAATAAAAATGAAATATACGACTATTGTTCTCTTTCGCACGAGGACTTGAAAAAAGGAAAATGCACTTTGTCAGCCTCGGTGATAGGTAGGTAGTATATTTTTTATTATTATTATTATTATTTTTTAAATTAACCTCAAACCCAAAACCCGTCAAAAATATAAGTTATTATTATTTTAGATTCCGAGTAAAACGAGGAATGTATTGGTTTTACAATGATGTTTATTTTTTATTTTTTTTGTGAACACTTTTTCTACCAAAAAGCATACTCCGATTATCAAGTATAGTATTTTTTCTGAAATAAAATGTTTTCTGGATAATACTTAAATAAGTCATTTTTTGAAATTCTCATTAATATTCGAGATAATGATGAAAACCTAGTTCTTTAGATTAAAAGAGATTGAAAGATTGAATAACGGTTGTTTTGCCAACCTCTTTACTATTATTTTTTTTTTTATTATTAAGCATTTATTATTTTAATCTTGGACACCCACATTTTTGTAATCATTTTATCATAATATGATATATACCATAATTTGTATTATTGACAAAGCAATACATTGTCAACTGAATTCCGCTTAGAATCGTTCTTTTGTTAGCAATGGTATATCGTTGTTACAGTTATATATTAAATTCCCGTCTATATCCTACTTCCGCAACTCTCCACCTACAACAGTGGCTGTACCTACGTGCGAAGTATGTCTGTCATTTTTTAAATATTATTTTTTTTTTTTTTTTTTATAAATTTCCGCATGTCTGGATTTCTCGAAATTTTCTTGAATTCTTTTCTTAGATTATGAGCGCCGCGTGTCGGTTTTACTTTAAGTATGACATATGCGATTCATATTTATTTTAGTGACTATAAAAACCTTTCTGATCAGAAATCTTGCTCCGATTATCAATTAAAGGTTTTTAGTTGCAAATTTTATCATGTTGGTGAACTAGGAAAGTAGTTTTTTTTTCTTAATAATGAAGAGAAGACTTTAAAAAGTCGGGGTTTATTTACGCACTGGTGGATTTTATCTAACCTAGTAAAATAAAAACTATTCAGCTTATTATACACTTTTATATAATCAAAAGCAGAACATCTTATAAAATACACATTGTATTGTGTTATAGTTATGTCATATCAAGAAATATTTTAAAGTTTTAAATTAATGATTTTTCGGTTAAATGTTTAAACCATTTTCAAATGCACATCAATTTTAATGATACATATTTTTGTCTCATAATTCTTTAAGTTAAAAATAAAAGATTTGATACTGGGGCAGATATGGCTATTATAAGTAGACAGGCAGTTAGGAAGGTGGGGTCCATGCTGTAAATATTTTTCATTTTCCCAATTATTTTTTAAAAATAATGTGGTGTTTTTACACCATAGAAAAACAAAAAAATGACCTGCTTGATTCTCCAACTACACAAAATTAACTTTCAGAATAGATACTACATTCTATACATTGGAGCAAAAATAATTTTCGAAAAGTTCTTTACAAACAGACAAACAAAAATTAAAAACACACATCATATAATAAAACCAATAGTTCCCTCGTTACGCTCCGAATCTAAAACTAAATCATTTAGATTTTAAATCAGTTTACTTGTAATTGCATAATATTTTTATTAATATATATATTATATGTTCAGTTTATTTGCAAAAAAGTATTAATATGAAAATCCTAATATTAAATGTATTTCATTTTACGGTATAAAATCAACAATATACCGGCTATACCGGCGAATATATTTGTAAAATATTTTTTACATTTGTATTTTGTATCATATTATTCCATTTGGATTTCAATTTACATAATTGCGGTAGCCCGACTGCCTTCTGGGAATTTTAAAACTTCTTTTTATTCTACATATCTCATTCACTCAATCCTCTGGCATTTGTTTCGTTTATTTAAAATATTTTGGCCGATGTGCAGTTTAGATTAAGTATTTAGAGATGAGAAATTTATGAAAAATAACTGCTCCGAATTCTGTAGATTTAAACAGTAATAATCGAGTTATTGTTGTCTTGTTTTATAGATATTTCTATGTTTTATTTTAAACTTAAATAAAACACATATAATATAAAAAAATTTTGAAAAAAATGCATTTAAAGATTATATGGCAATAGTTTTAAACATTTTATATGCATTACAATCGTAATAATTGTTGTATTATACAATTTATGAAAAAATCAATAATTTGTATTTGCAGATCTCACGCATAGTCCTCGTATAAAATCTTAAACCGATTTACATGTAATCATTTAAAACTTAAAATGTCTGTGTTTATTGATTTAAATATATTTAATTTTTCTCCGATGAAACGTGGATTATCATTTACAAAAAAATAAACGATGGTACTGCTGAGAGATTTATCACACTGTTGTAAGTAAGAATTTAGGAAGCTATAATACATAAAGTTATTTAATTTACATTTGTAAGTAACGATAAATCTTTGCTAAAGAAAAAACGATTATGAGCCAAATTGGTTTAAACATTATTCGAAATGCCAATTTTGTCAAGATTATAAGATTAACCCCCCCCCCCCCCCAAAAGAAAAAAAAAACTAAATAACGCTCAGCCTTTTATTAGCGAGATGATAATTTTTAATCCAAACATTTAGGACCCAAAAATCAATTAGCACTTTTATTTTTGAACATTTAGAAGTAGTAACTCGTCACCGGTTATCGAAAAAATTTAACAAGTGTAGAACGATAACTGGTAACATTATTTTAGATTGTTTGTCGCGTACAACTATAACTAAAATAACTTTATTTATCCTACCTTCTTTACATCCCATCCTCAACAGAGGCAATCTCATCAGCAATATCAACAGTTTTTTAAAAAATAAATATATTTATTTTAAATACACGTATATTTTATATTTGTACGGTATCTACGTCGTTTATCGGGAAATACAAATTTTCGTTTAGCAATCAAATTTGTCCAGTCTATTTTCTTAGATTCTGAGTGAGAAATATATTTTTTTACCACGCAGTTTACTCTGTATATCGAATCTAAAACCTTTGGTGGGTAAATATCGATATTAAACATTAGGATTTTATTTTGTTTACGTAAATTAAAATGGAATTTTAGATATTAGAAAAAATGTAGGTAATTCTTTTAAGCATGATTTATTGCATTTGATTTTTTATAACAATAAAGGTTCAAAGTGAATCAGTTTAACTTAATATAGTTGAAAAGTTAAAACTTCAATTATAATATTGAGTTTTCTGATACCTAACTTTTAACTTAAGTAGTTAAAAAAACCTTTTTATTGAAATTGAATATTTTTAACTAAACTTAGTACTTTGATTGAAATTTAAATTATTTCAAAAAAAAAAAATATGATTATTTTACTATTATAACTATCAATTATTAAATTTATATAACGAAATGAATCGAAATAAAATATATTTATTAAATAATTATTTTATTTCATGTACCTATATAAAGGCAAAAAACGATTTCTGTTTAATTTACATTAGATTTTATTTCATCTTTTTGATTCCTACCACTTCTATATTATATTGGTGAACTATAATAAATTTGGTATAAATGGAAGATAAGATTAATTTCCAATTTCAGATAATAAAGTAAAACATAAAATAACACGTAAGTACTGCTTGTTTGTTATCTCATTGTTACTTTATAATTTTTAAATGAAAATATTTCACCATTTTTTCATTAAAAAACCACGTTGTGTATAACACAGAGAAAACCTTTAAATTATCATGATACAAAAAAAAAATATATGCCAAATAATGCGAGTATTATTAACCGTTTTGCGAAACTTGAAATTAGGGGAAAATGAGTATGATAAATTTATGTTCAGAATGAAACATTGGTTTTAATATAACATTTTTTTTGTTTTCGTTGTCTCTAAAAAACATTTCATCTACTAGATATCTTGCTCTAATATAAATCTTTATGCAAGCTTTCCTGTAGAATTTTTGATTTTATTTGTGCATTGAAAATGTCGTAATATAATGTTCCTTTTAGTTTTCTTGATAAGTGAAAAAACTGATAATATGTTTGTATAATTTGTTGGATTCTGAATTACTTCGGCAACAAAGAAAATATTATTACTCAAGATCATTTTTCGTGTATAATGATTTATCTTTGTATACAGATATATATTAAATTAACACTATACATCCTTCACGTTTCCTCCCTAAAACAGTAGTATAACCATCAACAGTATTAGCTTTTTTTTAAACATGTATACAATACGAAAATTTAGTTTAATGTTATAGAGCTGTTTTTTTCTTTCCTAAAAATCAACCCCTAAAATTATCTTCGACTGTCCATCAATCCAAATTACCTGAAATTATTTGAGTAATGTTTAACCTACATACTTTTGTATGAACTAGCATAATAGAAAAACTTGTATATATAATATATACATATTATATACCTACGTGTGTAATATAATTCAATATTTATGTTGAACAATCAATTTCGTCTTGTATTGATAAACGTACGTAATCTGTACACATACCTAATATAATAAGTACCAATAACATAAAAAATATAATTTAATTAATTTTTTTTTTGGGTTAATACTGCAGTCTGGAGCCGATTGGTTTAAACGGTGTTTTCGAAACAAAATTATGTATACTTTTGTTATTTTTCACATATATACGTATAAATACAAACATACATCATGTACATTGTCTGTTAAAGTCAATGATATTTCCATCTTATAATAATACGCGTGTATTTCAAAAAGCCATTATTATATGCACACCATTGCACTTGAAAAAAGTGCAGAACGAAATAATGTCTCGCCGCCGCCAGTGTAAAACCGTTCCTTTTCTTCACGACTTTCTTTTCATTTCGCGTGAATTCGTTTTACTCCAAATACACGGTTGAAATTGTGTAATGGTTCAGTTTATCTTTTTCTTTTCTGTTTTTATCAATTCGAGATTATCAAATGTATTTTATTTGTTTGAAAATGCATCTGTTTGAGTAGCCAAACTATAATTCGATATATGGCACCGATATTATACGAATTGAAACCAATATAGTAATAATAATTGATAATACTGTTTTAGAATTATCACTGGCATAAATAAGTCTACAATAAATATATTCTCTTACTAATAAAATAATATTTTTAAATTTAATTTTGTGCAGTCAGTTGTAACTTCCATAAATAATTTGAAACTTTTTAAAAGTTTGGCGACTTAACGATTAACTATTATACGCTTTCTTGAGCGATTTTATGTTGACCGGACGTTATTATATAATATATATATACTAAGATTTAAACTCGGGTAGAGTCTTAAGCTAATATAAGAGATGATAAAATAAAAATCTTTCGAGTTTCTTAATGCGATAATACCGAATTATGAAAAATAATAATAATAAAATATGAATAATTCGAATTTGAAACATTTGTTTGAAAAAGCTTATTCAGTTAAAAAAATATTAAAATTTAAATAAGTAGCTTCTATTACATTTATTTTATTGTATTTTCAATATTAAATTATATTTATGAACATAAATAAATAATTAGTCAATAATTTATTTTTGTTTTTTTGTTTGTTTATTTCAGGTAAGACAAAATTGAAAAAAAAAATAACGTTATAGTATTAAGTGAGTACACGACCTACCTAGATTTTAATACATTTATCATATGATGTATCTAACCATTTTGGATACTTATTTTTAAAAAAATTAATTTTAATAGATAAAAATGATGTTCACTTATAACTTTGCTTTGAGTGTTTGATTTTTTGAAGTCGATTTATTTTTTTCATATGAAAAATAATTAAATATTTCAATTTTGATTTTATCAAATAAATAATAATATTTAATTTTAATACAATATTATATAAAAATAGATTGAAATGTTAAGATTTTGAAGTTAAAATCTATATCCTATCTATACGATTGATAATAATTGTGTCTAATTTTACATTATAGCCAGTGATGTAATTTCATTGATATCGTTTTTATTCGCTTGAGTTAAATCATCATTGATGCTGTGTTTCGAGTTCAACAACAATATTCACCAGTCGTCTTCTTCACCAATATCTTATTTTACCATATTATAACATGTTTTTGCAATTTTAGTCCCCATTCTGTTTATGGTTTTCTAAATGTTCAACTGCATATTTCTACTGGTTTATACGAGTAGATATTGAGCGCGGGGTTATCAGCCCTTAAACTTCTTTCTAGCTAAGAGGTTCATTAAAGTTCATATACACGATTAGGTATAGTAGTTAAGTATACCGTACGGAGCGTTGTCATACGTATGACTGGTCTGCTCAAGAAATCTCTGGAATAACCTTACCGTAAGATATCCGTTCGACATTTCTACACCTGTCACCGCGGTAAGCGTGTTAGGGGACATGCGAATAAACAAACGAAAATAATAGACATCAGTAATAATATTATTATAAAAATATTAGGAACGAGATCCGCGAAACGATATATAAATGCAATATCTATGTAGGTACATAACTTTGCCTGTGTTTATATGCGTATTGTACAAAATAAAAACTAGTCCGATGTTCGCGATAGGTATGTATACATAAAATATTATAATATATGCACATATATATCCGTGCGGGCGTTTTGATTTACGGACACGTTACGTGTATAAAATTACCATAAAACCGTGCTTAAAGCGCCGCCGGAGACGCGCGCGTTTTTGTCGAGGTCGCCGATCTCACGGTCTTAGGCCAAAGTCCAATGTTGGTTTGTCGAAAAGCGCACGTAATAATAATATTGTATTAATATAAATGGGAATAATATTCACAATAGATATTATACTTTTTTCACGCGCTACATGTCCTCTATGTTTTCCATTTTCATATAATGTAGCTTATCAATACCTATAGTGTGCAATATTAAAACAAGGGCGGTCAAACGGAGGGAAGGGGGGTGAGAGGAAATTACCGTCTATTACCTCATTATTCTTGATTATTTATAATTATGGACAGGGTGATTTTTTCAAGCATGCTAACCCCATATTTATCGTTAAATTAAGCGTAAATAAAATTAATGATTTTTGGAATTGTCAAGGATAGTTATAGACGATGTTTTCGAATACTTAAATTTGTCACAACACTTAAAAATATCCTGTGGCAAGACAAACTTTGGTTTTTCAAATAATAACCTACATTTTTAATGCAAATTGTCAAGCAGATGATAATTTGAACATGTTGAAATATTGTAATCAAAATTTGAACAAAAATGTCTGAGTTTCAATTTTAAATACTAAAGTATAATTACTATACGATTCACAAAAATAGTTTTCCAATACACAACCCTTATGAAATAATCTAAAATAATCTAAAAATGTAATATGTCTAGTATATTCGGTATACATAATAAAGAAATTGGATCCAAACGAATAAAAATCTACATTTTATGTTATTTAAAGTAACTTTAAAATTACTATAGTCTACATTTTAGGTACTTGAAAATTGTTTTATTTCTAATAGCATTACACCGTTACACCATAACCTCGTGTTTTCTGTAAACTACGAACATTAATACAGAGTGAATTTTTTTACCACGAACCATCAATTTTCTCAGACAATTTGATTTCTGTTTTTTTCTAATCAATATGGAATCATTTAAGCTTTACTTCAAGGCTATTTTTAATTTTTTACCACTAATCCATATACATTAAATAAGTACCTACATACTTTTGATTTTCAAATATGAACCCCTCTTTTTAAACACAGATTTAAGTATAAAATATTTGTCTAGCCGTTTTGATATACATAACACTAATATCAGATTTACCGTTTATAAGTTATAACAGTTTAAAGTTTAAACCGGAGAAGTCTCTGAGATAATTGCTGGTTCATGATAAAAAAAAAATCACCCTGTTATAGATAATAAGGTGTGTGTTGACTAATGACAATCAAACAGAAACAGTTGCTGCAAATTACTTATATGAGTTAATAATTTTTTTTTTTTTTATGCTGACTAAGTGTTTGACGTAAAAAATTTCAGATTTCAGAAGTTACAAAATATTATATAATCGCGACATTGTATAATTTGTCCACGTTACATAATATATCCCTAAGAATAAATAAATTACATTTGGTATTAGCGTGAGAAATTATACTTACTGAGGAAGAATATTGTACATCTTTATTATTATTTTTATGTTTTTTAATGGATACAATGTAGTTTTCAAAAATATAATTCGATAAATGATAATTTTTCCACATTCATATTGAAAAAACTTTTGGTATCTGCAGTTATAACTCCGGATTAGCGAATCTAAATACCTATATTATTATTATTATTATAATCATCACATTTTTTCACCAAATATATATATATATCGACGCGTTATTTTATAATAATTTAGCTGACATTTAAATTTTGTAGATAATCTAAGTAGGTGCGTTGTTGTTTTTTTATCCCATGTTTAAATACACGTTTTTGTTTATTAATGTAACATTTTACATTCAGTATATACACGGTTTAAAATGGCTTACTCTTTAAATTTATTAACTGATGCAAATAATAATTATAATCAATCAACCCCCTCTATCCCCCCCCCGTGCAACATAAATCGTACCTACGATTTATATAAATCGTCTCCACGTATTATCATTATTGATTATTAAAAATCGAAAAAAAATTAAAATATTTGATTGCACATTTATAATACCTATATATTTACAAACATTATCCTTAATTCAATCAAAACGTATATACCAACATCATACAGATGATTCTTTTTTTTTTATCATTAACTAACAATTTTCACAGAGAATTTTAATTTAGTTTTTGGTTTTTTTTTTTTTAATCATTGTGAAATCGTTTATAATTATTTTAAAACCATTTATACATTTTCACCCCTTCTCTATATCCTTTGAATAATTTTATAGTAATATACTTGTATGAGTATACATTTATTCTTCAATTACGATCGCCTTTTTTGAACACAAATTCAATATTAGAGATCATATGTTTTTCTAGAAATTGATATATGCATGTTGCATAACTTTTTATCAAATTTACCATTTACGAATTATAACCGTTTAATGTTTTAACAGGAAGAGTAAAGAAGAATTAACAATATATCATTTAAAAATAGATATGCAATCTATTACCTTTCCCTACTCCTCCAGTCTAGACTTTAAACGATAAATCTAATATACTATAAGTGTTATGTGTTTATATATATTATATATTTATATATTATAATGTATAGCTAGATTAGATTATAATCCTCTATTTATGAAAAATATATGTTTACTGATAGCGTTATGAATAAACAAATATTACAATAAATTCGTGAAATTGAATAAAATCACAAAACTAATAGTTTGATTTTACTCTCAGTGGCTTAAAAAAAATAATCTATCGAAATCTAATAATTTGTCATATTACATCCGGGACTATACAACATATAAACAAACGAGAAAACGCAAAGAAATATCTGAATGATATTATTACATTTTAATTGTATCCATATATTTTATTTCCAGAGATCTAAAAAAAAAATTCGTTCTATAATCAATCGTAAAAATAAAAAAATGTATATAGATAGACTGAATACCGAATTTAATTTTCACTGGAAAATTTAATTAAAGCAGTACTTATTAATAGTTTAACTGCAAATTTCATTAAATATCAGAATGGTACTAATGAAATTATCTTCACATAGCTTATAACGAAAGCCAACTAAACCGGGATGGTGGAATAATTGCACTATTGAGCTAAATTAAAATATCGAACTGCATTCGGTTTAAAAATAAGTAATGACCAAACTCTACTAAGGTCAATAAAAACGTTTTAAAACACCGATTTTCACTTATAGGCTTAGAACTGACCATCATTTTAACCATTGAAATGGTTAATTTTTTTTTTATGAGTTTTTTAACATGTCCAATTATTATCATTATTTTTAAAAAAAAATGTAAATAATTATAAGAAACTGGATTTAGAAACGCCGTTCTAAAAATTGATTTTTGAGCATATAAGATAATAAATTATTCAATGGCATGTTTTTTTTCTGGTATCCTGTAATGAAGGTCTTATGTCTGTTTCCTACATTTACAAGTAGGCATGTATTTTAACTATTACAGGAATAGATTGTTATCAAAACTTTTTAATTAAGTTGATTTTTTCAAACAGTTTTGTTAAAACACATTTCTTGACCCGAGTGTGATTTAACCTTACCAAACTAAACACGAACATATACTGTTCATTGTATGATTAGGAGTAAAACATTGTAGTTTACTCTTAATTCTACAATGAACAGTATATAATGTTACAAATTTTAAACATACAGAACAATATTCGTGAAAGATCGAAACTATATAATCATTCGCCTCAATATTTTGTTGAAGCTTATCAAATAATTTCAATAGTATACCTATAATACCTGTATAGTATGTATATATATATATCAGAAGATAAAATCCCTCGCCATAATATTAAAAACCGCATTCGACTAAGTATACTTAAAACGATAATAATTTTAAAAACATAAGTATCAGTTAGACATGAGAAACTAAAACACTTACAGAACCGAACAATATGTGTAAATCTGAACTACAAATGGGTATTTTCTCCACATAACACGAGTGAAAAATTCACAAAACTATATAAGTAATATTATTATTGACAAAGTCTACAAATCAAAATTTGTAACCCAAAAAGTACGAATAATCGTAAAAATCATTTAAATAATAACCAGACACGAATCACAATAATCACATAAATCAGCGTAACTCTATTCAAACAAATAAATTTGATATTTTATTTTCAATTTTCATCAGTTACCCTTGCTGTTATTTTTAAGTGTTTCGAAAAATATTTATAATATACACAGAGAATTTTTTTTATGATGAACCAACAATTATCTCAGAAAATTTTAAGTGAATTCGATTTATATTTGTTTTTTATTATTTAACCTTAATTTTAAAACAATTTTTAATTTTTACCTCTACTCCGTATACCTTAAATAAGTACACTTTTTTGGTTTTCAAATATGAACAGAGATAAAAAAAAATCAAATTCACTTAAAATTCTCTGAGAAAATTTGTGGTTCATGATAAAAAAAAAACACCCTGTATAAAATGTAGACAGGTACCAAATATTTTAGACCTCAATTTTTTCGAATTTAAAGTTTTTAGAGTAAACGGAAGGTGATAAAATGATTGCTTATACCCGATAAATTTTACTGTTCTACCTATTTCCTATATTAAAACTTTAAACGCTTATAAATAAACTATAAGTGTTCAATATGTATTCATTTTTATGTGAATACATATATATATATCTCCGTAAAAATATCTAGCGCAATATCCCATAATAATAAAAAATAGAAAACAATTGACGATATAGATTTTAGCAACCTTTATATTTTAATAAATAAAAAAATCTTAGTGTAATAAGAAAAAAAAACCAATAATAAAATATTCTTACAAAATATCGTAATATTATATTTGCGAGGAATTCGAGTTAATATTTTATAGGTGCACACAAATATCCATAGATTATATGAGTGCGAAGCTCATTAAATGTAACACTTATTATTATGAAACATTGGATGTATAATACTCAGCTTTCATCGTCATTTTTTTACATTTTGTAAAGTAATAAAGTGATACTATGCGTAGGTATTACACCGACTTAATTGGCTGTACAGAGTGCTATACATCACTTCAAAACTACCTACTAAAATAATAATTTTTGATTTTTAAGTGGTCCGATGTTTGAAAATTATTTCAACATAACGGAGATAGTCAACGTGTGCCTCACGTCTTGTTTATAAAAGCCGGTAATGACATCTAAACAATTTTTTTTATTTATAAACTTGTCATCTGTATACGGGCGTTTTACTCAAGCAATATTGAAGGCAATTACAAAACTTACCTTTACATTGTTATCTGCGACGTTAGTAAACATTGACATAACATTAATTTATTTGACGAATTCATAATTTAATCAAAACAAAATTATATGATTGAACTAATACGCAGTTGGATAGGTTTATCGACTGCTAGCTATTTTTGTTATGTATATCTAATACTTAGTATAAATAGTACCTATATAAACACTAACTAGATCAATTTATATAAAATTTATTTATAAACATTTTGACTCGCGAACATATTCATGTTAGCCATCCCTGGTATATAAAATATTGGTCGTGTTTTTTTAGCGTTGAGTTTCACATTATTATTTGCAACACCTACAACTGCAGTGTCTCAAATATTAATTTTTTTTTTCCTATCATTTAACCAAGACAATCAGAAACCAACAAAACATGTTTTTAAAAACTTCTGTACCTAGCTCAAATGTGAGCATTAGAGTGGTCACTATCGTATATATGAGCCTATTTTTTTTTTCAATATTTGATCGGATACCCAGAATTTAATAAACAACATAACAAAATAATTTGTGTTAAATTTCATAAACATTGATCAACCATATGGCTGTTTTTAAGGAGTTCAAATTTCAAAAATAGGTGTTACTGTCAAAAAAGAAAAGTAATTTGTATTTCATGCACCGAAGAAACATTTTAAATGTATCCTTAAGGCCCCTACTTACTATATGTGACTTGGTCAGGCTGACAGAATAATTTGGTCTGATCGGATATCATATCAGATCGTCTATAGAGGTAAATTAATTAAAATTCTTTCAGATCTTGTCAAGTGGATGTCTGACCGTCTGACCGCCGACCAACCGAATAAATCGAATCATACGTAATGTTGTTCGGCGAATTTTCCTTATCAGTCGGTTTTTTTTTTTTTTTTTTTACCAGCATTATGCTCAAGTCACTATGGTAAGAGCCTTGCATGCACTACACCTGATTCGGTCAGGCTATCTGTCGGCCCGATCAAATCATGTAGTGTGTATGTGTGTATTTATTATTACCACGCGAAATCGAATTCAAATCCAAGATTATCTTCCGAAATATTTAGTGCTACCTGGAAACACGAATATGCATGTATTATATTGTACGAGCGACAGTGTTTCGCGTTATCTGTACTCGTATTTTACATTTTCGAGTTAACTTTATCCCTTCAGAACGATCGTGATATAATTCAGTTTAACGCTGTCTCCCATTGTATTCCTGTACATTTTAAAACAGAATATCTATATTATATTGTACGATAAAAGAAAAAAAAATTACTGTTACCTACTACATACTCATTTACTCGTACACGATATACACATATGTACACATTACACATATATGTATTATTTATATAGGTATATATAGACTCTATGAAAACGTGCCCGTACTGAAAATGTGTTGTTAACAGTCGCGATTTTTATGCCAAACGCACGTCACCGGTCACCACTTATACCGCATTAACGGTTACCGCGGTGTATCCGACGTCCGTCTGTCAGCGGCGACGACGCGAATAAATACCATCGCCGGAAGATCCGCTGCTCATATAATAATATACGAAACGATAGCAGTTTTTGTCGTTTTCAAAATCCGAGCACGAACCAGACATCAATCCCGAACTCACGGATCCCGTATATAATAATAATAATATCGCGTGTACGTGGCCCCGTCCCGAGAGACGGATTTTCGATTTTTTTTGTTTTTTTATTTATTTTTTTGTTTTATCTTTGTGTCCTACCCGACTCCACGATTTCTTATGACATCAGAGTTTCGACAACAATTCAAATAGATCGCGCGCAACAATTTTGTCGAGTACGACTATACGCCGTGTTACTCGTCGTACTCTTTTATCGTGCAAACCATATTTTACAGCTATTATCATTTATATCTACGAAGATAAGATTTCGAATGTATTGCATATTTGAACTTAGATTTTTTTTCTGAGCATGATATATATGCAAAACGATCTTTGATTTTACACTTTACTTTCAAAATTCTACTCTCTTATATAGATAATATTATTCGCGCTTTCCAACTCTCGACGTCGTTGAACACAAGAAAATTCGATTTTTTTTTTTTAACAGACATTAAAGTTACATCATATTTCATAAAAAAAAATCGAATATTGCTGATGGATGTACCATTATTTTATAAAAGAATTTAGTTGGATAAATGTATAAAGTAATTTAATTCAAATCTAAATTTAATAAAAACATATTACTAACGAAAACAATTCTGAGCAAAGTAGCATTTGTTGAATTTTCCCTTGTTTGGCAACGTATCCCAGAAATCAAAAAAACTTCATTTTTCCCTTTTGTTCAGGAAATTACTGAGAAAATCGAAAAATTATACACAATACATCAACAAAATCAAACATGTTACAAGGGATTTTTTATACTTATACATAAATAGAATCAATTTTTATGGTAGAAAAGTTGTTTCACAAATAAAAAAAAATACATTAAAGCTCATCACATCATTTTTCCGGAATCTAAAATGTATTGGCGTATTAAAGGTATTTACATTGTAAGGTCATAGGTTAGGTATAAAGAAAACACTTTTGCGATAAATATTCACAGTCAGTATTTCGTATATTATGGAGTAATCGCAATTGCAATACTGCTACAATGGCGATGGTGCTAATTTTTTAATTCGTCTTTAAGGGTATATGTATAATAATGATTCACCGACGCCACGATAATTATAATATTTTCACTATTAGATTTACATAGAAAAAAATAACTAGATTTATCGACGTAATCGATTCTAAATGCAGCGAAAAAGCTATTATACTATAAAATGTGTTATTTTTTTGTTCTTAGAAAACACTTTTTTGGGTAGTGAAAATATTCCAATTTTCTCACATGATATCTTAAAAGATGCGGAATTCTTGGACGGTGCTTTATTTTTTCTATATTCTAAAATAAAAAAATTGAACACAAGTGACCATACATCGGGGTGTTTTTGTTACATTGCGCGGTTACCTTAGCTTAGAGAACTAGATAACATACAATGGTATGGGTAGTTTATTATTATTTAGAAGTTAAGCGATCTTTTTATATTTTACTGTTGTGGTTTTAGTTGTCCTTTTGTTTTAAAACTAACAACCACAGTAGAAACTTCATCGTTGATATTATGATTGCTGTATTATATTCATCTTGATTTGTAAAATCAATCATATAAGAGCGGAATGGAGTAGGTAGTCGATAATTGATGTGATATATAATTATAACATTATTATTTCCATACAGTTATCGCAGCTTTATTTACTGTCTTCTGGCATAGTTGTAAATTTATTCAATCAGGTACCTCGTCCAAACGATGATGACAACAATAATAATATTAATAATACACAAATTACAATAATAATTTATTATCCAAGACCGTGTTTTCTAAACTCGCATTATGAAATAAATTAATCAATAATAATAATAATAATTATTTATTATTTAAATTATTATTAACTATATTCTTAAGTACATAGCCGTTGTAAATAAAACAAATTGTTGGGGCAAGACATCAGCTGTATATATAGTTTTAGTATCTGTGGCGGCGCGTCTGTTAATATCGCTATTTCACTTTCCACTTTCAAGTGTCACAACCACTCAGTTTTATATGTAAACAAGTAGATAAAACTAGGTATCTACTATTAAAAGTAGCATTTACCACTAGTGTTTATAATTTTTATAATATTCTTCGGTGTATACAGGATGATTTTTTTTTTTATTATTTAATCACAGTCCAGACAATTTGTTACGAACGTTTTGAGAGTTGAGTAAAATATAAATTTATGTTTTTTTTTTCATTATATTATTAGCAACCGACCGTTCACCGGAAGTTCCTATTTTGGTTTTCGATCATCCGGGACGATACTAATATAGACCATTCTTGATGTCCGAGTCGCACCATCCGGGTACCATATAGGAACCTTTCTGAAATATTTCCTATTTATATTTTCAAAAAATCTTAATCCAGAACACGCTGATGGAAATCAAACCATAAACCCTCACTGAACCTGACCTAAAACAACTAACTTCTAACAAATAACAAATAACAGTTTATATTGGTCAAGTATCAATTGGGAATAAAACAAATAACACTCGGGAAATTTAAAATTCTTCCTGATAGGTATTATCTGAGTACTGAACCAGAAGTTCCTGAGACAGTCTGTGCTGTCAGAGGGGTATTCAACATTATTTTTAGAAACTTTAACAAACTTTAACATTTTATGGATAGGTAGTAAATAATAATTAATAATAATAAGTGAATTTGATGTGAATACATAAGCTGAGTACAATTGTGACACCCCGGACCTTAATTTTGGGGGGTGTAAAATCATTTAAAATAATGAAACTTGGTAAATATTTTACCACAATACAAAATTATTTACCCTACTTCTTTTGCCTAAGTTTTAAAAAGTTTTTACTTATAAAGTCCAATATTTATGTTATACATATTATCAGCATTTTTTTTTTTTTTAGAATAATATTATTTTTTCGGATCTGATTTGATCCGAAAAAAAAAGTGGCTGGGTAACTTAAATAAATAAACAATTAAAAAAAATAATTTTAAACGACTTTGTATACGCAAGGATCAGAAAGGGTGACCATAAATCACAATCAGTACAAGAGCACGTGATACCTGCGGTAATATGATTTATATTACACGGCACAAAAATTCAATAAACGATATTTTATAAAAATCATACGATAAGTAATATCGAAAAAAAAAATAGTATAAAATAGTAATAATAAGTTAGGCTCGTGCATTCCTTTTGATTCAACGAGAACGTCGACCGTTTCGCCGAGAAATATTGCAGCTCATAGTCCAGAACTCTTCCCCACCAGATGAACGAACGATGACGCTAACGTGGCAGCGAGCCGACACGATTTTGACGAGAATCTTGGACCCAAACCCTTGGCATAAACTTCGTAAACGTACCGCGGTCGAATTGGCCGTGAAAAAAAAACAAAAAGTAATCGCAACTGGCAAAACACCCGCGGTCACAAATTTGTGGACGGGACACGCGAACCTACAAGTCAACGACTCGACAGCTTCACACCAACGGAATGGAACGACCGGAGAATGACGCCGACGGCCGCGGTAGACACGGCAGTGTCAGGGATTACGGAGGTGAAAATTCATCGGTTACATAGACCGGTCGGTTAAGTTAGGTTTATCCAATTTGGATGTGATGCGAACGAACATCGTATAAAACGATTTTCTAGACCAAAACTAATTTTACTCAATAGGATAAAAAGAAGTTCAAGATAAAACAAAAAAAATTTTCCTTTAGTTACCTAACCTAAGCTAATCTATATATACTATAGTTTCAGAACGTTTTATAGGTATATTCTTTCAAATGGCCGCCACATTTTCAATGTTATATACAATCGCTAACACGAACAAACAATATTATTTTTTTAAACTGTCTTTAATGCGTCTGAAAAAATCTACGTATAGGTGGATACAATTGTTAAAACATTCATATTTTTTAATATTATAAATTTAATTTTTAATTATAATACCCGTTTCTTAAATATATGTTTACATTAATATGACTTTTGAGTATAACAAAATAATGAGGAATATTTTTAAATTACAATAATTCAAAAAAACCTTCCATTAAAAGCCGTGAAAAAAAATTATGTGTACTGTGCCTTAAAAACTTGTTTAATCATATTGTAGTATTTCACAGTACTTTACACCTATTAAACAAGTCGCTCCGAAACTTTTCCTTAACCGCACTAACTTTTCATACTGAAGTTTTTAATTGGTTCATTCTTCATTAATGCATGTGTACGAGTGAATTTAATAATAATATGTATAATATTGTTGTAAGAGCTCTCTCTGTGTAATATGTTGTATGGTGATTTTTCTCTTAAAATATTACTTTTTTATTACTTTTATTCAGTTGCGTATCTGGAACTCAATCAAAGAGGGGGTGATTTAAAAATTGTAATAAACCAAAAAATATCGCAAGGGGTTTCCTCGTCCTGAAAAGAAAAAACAATTATCACTTTTTTTTTTTTTTTTTTATAATTACTCTCCTTGATAATTAAAAAAAATTAGTTTATAGGTACAATAAACAATAATTAATAATAATAATATTAATAATTTATATATTACGATCAAAAACTGAAGTCGAACAAATCTCAGAAATGTGAAAAATTGAAATTTATGGACGTTACAGTTTTTCCCAAATTTTCACAGCCGAAAAATTCCAAGGAAGAGCGATCCATCCTTCACCCCCTCTCAAATACGCCACTTCTGTTATTTATTATAAAGCAATTAATACGTTTTACTGACACTATATTTTTTTTTATATACACACAATAATGATAAAATATTATTGAATTATTTGAATTAAGTATATTTTGTAAAATAATACAGTGAAATAGATATAGACAAAATTTAGAAGATTAAAAGTAAAATAATTAATAATTAAATTTATTAGTCAATATTTACTAATATAAACTACTTTTTTATCAAATTTAAGCGAAAACATCATTTTCATCAAGTTAAAATTCAGCTATAAACATCTAACTAATTGTGTAAAAATGTAATTACATTTTTGAGTAAATGTACTACAAGGCACTAAAGAAAACTGCCAAAGATCGGCACATTTGACTTTAATGACAATGACAAGACAGCTTTTAGAAAAAGAAGAATTAGAGAAAAAGTTTGTAAAAATATAAATACAAACCATACAAGTATAACCGTTTAAGTGTGTATACATATATATAAACTATAAACACGCACTTTACCACGTACTATAAATAAGTAATTTAAACTCTTAAAAAGGACGTTATATCTGCCTCTCACTTTTATTAGAGATCGACGAGGTTTTCGAACACCACCTAGAGGAAAACGATTTTCCATTCTCATTATTTGTAATGTTCTCGGCAAATAAAGGGATAGCTTTGCCCCAGCTAAATACAAATGAATACGAGCCGTGAAAACTGTTGTAAATAATTCAAATGTACAATTTACAAGGTGGTTTCAGCTTTCAGCCCTGCGCTATGGCTTTAAGAACAATACAGAAAATAGGTAGTGATAAATTGGTAATAAACGATTGCTTTATTTATTTGTTTGTAAACACTTTCTCAAACTCGTATTATTATGTAGGCAATTGTTTATTTTCACTTTATATAAATAGCATCTAGTTAAAAGCCCTTGAGCGTAAACTATTATTTTTGTTAAATTAAAATTTCTCCCTATAAAAATGTTTTATTATAAAATCGCTCGTACCGCAGCAACTGTAATGTACCTTACGAGCGTTTTACGTGGCGACTAATACAATGACATCCGTCTGCGGTGATTGGACTTCTTAAATATTGTTCAGTAAATACCTATAATGTCATGAGTACAAAAATAAATAGATTATAATCGACAAGTTATAACATAATGTGGAAAAATAAAGTAAATAATTTAAAACGCAGGTCATCGTATTTTATAACACTTGATACTTCACTCTCAATAAAAATGTATAATAGTTAATATTTGACTAAGACTGTTTTTTATCATCTTTTCAGTTTTAATTACAATAATTATTTAATTAATAATACAGTAGGTAGTACATTGGCTTTTTTCATATGATATTATTAGTATAAAACATATATAGCCATATAATAGCCATAATACATGTATAATATTATCAAGCTTATTGAAATTGTATTTATTTTGATAACAATACATTCAAAAAGTCTGTAAATATATCGCATCGCGGGTAGATCAATGATGCAAGTGAGAAGTTGAAAAGGTATAGAATATAGTGTAATTTATTTTATATTGAAAGTAACAATAAATCAAAAATTAATTTTGACCGGATCTCAATTACTAGGGTAAGGTTGTAGTATAAGTCGTGTTATTTCTCATTATAGTCAAGGTAACCTAAAAATTAACAAAAATAAAACCATTGTAAAGAAAATGTTCATAATAAAACACTACGGAAATATCGGCATATTTTAAGTTACTTACCGAAAAAATATTTTCTTATAGAAAAAAAAATACATACTTATTAAAATTATAATAAGTAGCTTCTTCGTTACACTCAGAATTTAAAATATCGTATAATTTTAAATAATTTAAATCTTTGCAATATCGCTATGTCGGAAAGAGTATTTTATTTATTTAATTTGGAAATTATTGTAAAATAAACAATACAAACGCGTAAGTACCTGCACTAAAAACCGTTTTAAACATGGTGAAATGTGTTGTACCGTGTAATAGTACCGAGTGTATACGTAATACACAATAAACATTTGTGTTTAAACAAGTGTAATTAATTTCTAGAAGACAACTACAAATTAACTTAACTACCTATGAGAATAGTACTGTATGCCGGTGTATCCGGGGGAAATTTGTATTATTACATTGTGATCGTATAATATAGTTATGTTAATTTACGAGGCCCAAAGTAATATAATCGAGGTAGTTGGTAGATGCTGCAGGTACAATTGAATAACTATGCATATATACGAGTATTAATTCATATTTAACAACTTATTATAGGGGCCTATATCTTTACAAACCAGCCGATAATAATAATTATGATTATAATTAAAAATCGTACACGTGATATTGACAAATTTAAATTACTATTATTGGTATGCTACCTTAATAAATGATTTTTAAAATGTTCATACGTAGTTAAGAGTGACCATAACATATAAAGAGAAAAAAAAACGGAACACTTTTTTTTGTAATAAGAAAAAAAATGTATTCATTAACAAAACAAGAAACAATGTATAATATTAATTTATATTACATACAAAATTATACATTAGGTATACAAAATGTATAACGTTATTATACGCCATACTGCATCAACAATATAGAATGCTACATAAATACAAAATTGAGTGGTGTAAAATAACCTTTGAAAACCATTTTTGAAAAAGTAAGATTTCACAGATAAAAATATCTAAAGCAGATTTATTATAGATTATGTTTTTTTTTTATGAATTTGTCCTTAAATCATTTTTTGATAAAAAAAAAAAAATAATAATAATAAAAAGCAGGATGTATAGTCATCGTAACGAAGTTTAATTATTTCATAGGGTCTTTAAATATCATTACATACGTTTATGACTCTGGGCTAAATGATGAATGTAAAAGGTTATACTATGATGTATATTTTTTTGTAAATATGTTTTTCTATCTGTTAATGTTTTTTTTTATTGGAAATCTTACTTAAATTTAAAACTTTATAGGAAATTTCTTGTAGCATTTTTGATATAATAAATGCACTGAGGAAGTCATTTTTTAATTTTCCTTGTAGTTTTCTTAATAAATGGCAATTTTTTGTTAATTTCTAGGTTACCTTGGCAACAAGAAGAAAAACGACTTATAATACGATTATATAATGCTAATAATACTCTGTTCTTAATTGTTTCTGGTTAGCACTTGTGTATCGTTGCGTACAAATATAAATTAAATTACTCTATATATTTTCGCTTCAAACTTTCCTCCTAAAATAATAGTACATTTATCAGTATAGTATCAGTCTTCTTTTTTTTTTATGTGTACTTAAAATGACATGGTATGCATTTAAATGTTATACTTGGTATGTATTTTATTGAACTCGGATTTAGATTTATAAAATACAAATTTATATTTTACAAAACATATTCATATTGAATTATTTGTTTGCAATTTAACATAAGTAACGAGTATATAAACAAGAGTTGATTATTTTTCTTTCCTAAAATACCACATTGGTAACTAACCATAACTCAACGTACAATATTCGAATACTAAAATGTGTTTTCTCGATTTTTAAATTATTGAAATAAAGAAGATAGGTTTAAATATTGCTTTCTTATATTTAACTTTCATTTTGTATCGGGTATTTATTTTTGTTATGTTTGTTCGTGAACGCAAAACGAAAAATAAATATATTACTTTTAATAATACTTAATTACAAATTATAGTAATCATAGTAACTTTAAATTTAATATAATATTTTTGATGACTATTATAATAATAACTCACAAGTATAACCATTGTCAAATGACCTTCAATCAACCTTATGGTTTATTTGTATTTTAACATCGAATTGAGTTAAAATTGTATGGATAGAATATGTAGATACGATAACTATCTGAAATGAAATATGTATATATTATTTTATTTAATAATTGATAAAATCTATTTTGTTTGATTATCAGTATATATTCATTGTATATTCATTTAGTTTCTAAAATAATATATATCTAGAAATCGATGAAAACCTTGGAGCAACAAATGGATAACAGTCAGATTTGAAATTATCAGGAAGCTATTAAAAAAAAACTTTTTTCATTTTTCGGTTTAATCTGATTGTTGCATTTGTAAAATATAACGTATATTTTCCTTATAATTATGCCGTTGAAAAGTAAATTTATAACAAAATGTAGAGCTTTATCTGATTGTTGCACCCGAGGTTTTCAATTATAACACAGGTATTTTATAAGTCGTTGTTATTATTATTATTATTACTACTACTATTGTAGGTACGCGATACTGTATTATTACTTTAAACCGCTTATGGATTATGCAATTTATTCATCATCTACCTGCGCCTATAATATAAGGGTGTGACCCTTTAAGTTGCACGAACACGGGACCTTGTCGTTTTGATTATTTGATGAATTTAAGTAAATTCAGTATATTCGTCGTTGTTGCGAACTTAACATTATTTGAGGGTATCATATTTGAGTTGCAAATAAGCAAACGCGTTCCGTCAGGACATAGACTCTCTCTCTCTCTCTCTCTCTCTCTCTTTATTTATAAATATACTTAACTTAAGCGTCTAATTAAGACGCGTGAACCCTTTGGCCAAGTTTCTTCCGGTCCAATTATCAATCCGCGACAACCGGTCTAGAATTATAGTGGCAAAAAGACTTGGCAAACAGAAGTAATTATTTATAGTAATACGTGTGAACAAGGGCTAATGTAAATTATGTGTCACATGATAATAATTAAAAACCCGAGGAAGTAGAAAAAATGACACACTTTTTCATGTGTATACCAGTACTACACGTGCATTTAATTTAAATCTTTACTATTCGCGAGCGATGGGCGATAGGTACCAAACATTTTGGACTTGATACTTCATAAAGCAATATTCGATAATCGCTACTTTTGTTTAAAAAAAAAAAAAAAAAACCAATAGTAAAGGTATGAATCATTCGTATTACGTATTACTTAAATAATACGAATTATAATACACTATTTAAAATTCAGATGCAAAGGACACTACAAAATAAACAATAATAATGTTTTAAATCTAATCTATTTAAACGTTGTTATCACGTTTTCGCTTATTATTCTAACATAATAGAAAATCAAAATCGACTAAAATTATCTATATAATATATAATTACTAATTGTATAGCATACGGAATAAATAGAAATTAAAAAATCTCAAATAGTAATCACTAAAAATATACGCTTTAAAATGCCAATGAACCCTTTGTTTTACCTAGGCACTTTAAACATAAGGGTTTGTTTTACTACTAGCTAAACTGTTGTATAATGCTGTATTATGCACATGTTAATAATTTAATTTAATCGTATTTCGAATAGTATGTGGTTACAATAAAATGTGAACGATATTTTATCGAATGTATAGCAATTTATTGTTTATGTATTTAAAATACCGATCGTTTTATAGATTTGAACACGACATACGATAATTTCTAACATAATTTAGGCAATAAATTAAAAGGGTGTAACATTTCAGGCAATAATAGTATTAGTCGTTATCGTTATAAAATGTTATATCGATTTACGTACTTTCGAAATGCGTTGTTTTAAAACCCTCACACTATCACCTACCCACCTAAAATAATATTATATTAATAATTTATTGATGTTATTTTTGTATTAAGTACGCAGTCCGTATGATTACATTTATTGAAGCTAACCTTAAGCTAACCCTAGGTTAGGTTTAACCTAATTTATATAAACTCCTATTATAGAGGATTCTATCATTGGTTGGTCTCCCTCCTCTGTTAGTCACGTGTTTGTAAATTACTTTATCTTATTTTCTTATTGTGTATATAGTATAGATATAGTATAGAATGTTATTTTTCTTAATAAAAAAAAAACCTAATTTACAGTACCTAATTTTAATTACTATATCAATAATTTTGGCCTGGGTTTACAATACTTTTCAAGTACATAATACGATTTGTGTGACAGATACATCAAAAGTGAAATTTGTACTTTCTATTTTTCGCTGTTTTTTTCAATTTTGGAAAAATGTTTAGCATTTTTTAATAACTTGGTTAGTTTTAAGTGCACTTTTATATATTATACAAAGAAATATAATTTTCGTGAAATCAGTTTTAATAGGATTTGGATTCTTTATAAATACGGGTTGTTAATCGTACTATTTATGATTTTATTAACGCCTTCATCTTATCATTACGAAGTATGTTAAAAAAGTACTAGGACAAATATTATTGCGGCTAATTTATACATGATAACGTTATAAATTATAATTAGGTGTATTTCCAACGTGTTAGAGAATATTTTGAACAAAACCCAAAGTCGCTATCTTATCTCAGTTTAATATTATACGTGGTTAAATCTATTCAGTTTGTTTCGTTCTCCACTTTCGTCATGTTTGAAATTAACGAACAACATGTGTGCATCAAATTTTGCTTGAAACTTGGTAAAAATGCAACTGAAACGTACACAATTATTAAAATTGCTTTTGGAGACGATTATTTAAGTCGCTCTGTTACTTTCGAGTAATTTAAACGTTTCAAGGATGGTCGGCAGTCAATTAAAGATGATCCACGTTCTGGAAGACCGTCGACATCTAGAAATGATGATGTTGTGGCGAACATTTATGAAAAAGTGCGAAATGACCGCAGATTAAGTGATCACGAGTTAGCAAATGAAGCAGGAATTTTAATTGGATCTTGTCATGAAATTTTAACGGAAAATTTACAGATAAGAAGGGTAGCTGCTAAATTCGTTCCGCGGTTGTTGACATCGGAACGATGATTGAACGAAATGATTTTTCAAGACCTTAAAAATCGATCTGCTGATATAAATTTCATAAAAAACATCATCACAGGGGACGAGACATGAGTTTATGGGTACAATCCAGAAACAAAGTTACAGTCAACTCAGTGGAAAACAAAATTTTCCCCTCGACCAAAAAAAGCTCGCCAAGTGAGATCGAATGTCAAGACAATGCTGATTGTTTTTTTTTGATATTGAAGGTATTGTTCATTATGAATTTATGCCCCATGGACAAACAGTCAATCAGATATTCTATAAAGATGTATTAATATGTTTGCGAGAGAGAATTTGCAAAAAACGCCTAGAAAACTGGCGAAGTAGAACCTGGTTTCTTTATCACGACAATGCGCCAACACATTCAGCGTTGTCAATTCGTAAATATTTGGCTGAAAAAAAAATACCTGTGGTCCCACACCCTCCCTATTCACCTGATCTAGCCCCGTGCGATTTTTTTCTTTTTCCGAGAATAAAATCTGCGCTCAAAGGACAACGATTTCAAGACCTAGAGGAAATTAAAGCAAATACGGCAACAGAACTCAAAACTATAACTTTAGAACAATTTTAAAGGACTATCGAAAAATGGCAAGATCGATGGAACTACTGCATATTGTCTGGAGAAGAGTTTTTTGAAGACGATATCTTTAAGTAATATGTAACTTCATTTTTGTAATTATTAAAAATAAAATCCTGGTACTTTTTGAACAGACCTCGTATTAACGGTTTTGACGCATACAATTTACTCAAGCAAATAACAACTACAGAAGTGAAACTTTTATCTTTTATTTTTTAATTTTTAAGGCATTTAAATATGGGTGATACTAATAATACTTTAGTAATTTTAAATTCTCCATTTTATTATAATGCTATTTCCACCCTAAATCTCCGTTCTAAGAAAACAACCTAATATTTCTCACTACCGATTACTGTGGTAAAATGTTAATTATATTATTTACGTCTATCCAAAAACGTCTGATATGACAATGGGTTTAATAATAATAATAATAATAATAATATAGTAATTAAGGCGTTATGGGGTTAGATACTTATCTACTGCCGCGGGGTTCAAGGGTTTAACTTTATTCCATCGCGTGATTTATGACGAGAATTTTTGTCATGAATAAAAGAGTACTCACTAACATAACTCGTGATTGCTTTAATTAAAAAATATAATAAAACAAAACCTAAATATAAATGAAACGATGATTAATTCCAATAATATTACACTACTTGATCCAATAATATTATAATTAACCGTCAAGCTATAATTAATCATGTTAAATCAAAAATATATTTTTTTTTTATTGTAAACAACATCGTTTTCTGATTCGGAACCTATAATTGTTAAAATAAAAACAAATGTACATATTTCAAAAATAAAGAATATTGAACTTAAGTTTTATACAAATTTAAAGTACTTTTGGAAATTAATAAAATAACAGACCTTATATCCTATACAAATACAATAAAATTATTTAATATTTTTGGAATTTTATATAAAAATCGATTATTTTTTACGTCACCTAAATAAATATTATATATTATTATAGAGAAATAATAATTTTTTTTTTTTTATTTGTATTGATTAAAATTTAATTACCTACTTCATATTTTTATTATTATTATTGTTACGAAGCTTGCCAATTTCAAAGGTTATTAAGTTTTACAAATCATAATTTATTTTAAAATCTATTTTTTTATTACATTTTTTTAATTACCTCTTAAACAATTTTTTTTTTTTATTTTTATATCGAAAAAAAAAATTATAATAATATAATAAATTACAAATTGCGAATAGAATATTTGATATAAATAATGTTTAAACACTTTTCTTTTTAAATCAATTAAATAATTTTTACAAAATTTACGTAATTATAAAAAAATAAGTATATGTGTTCTATTCTTGTATTTTATTGTGAAAAAAACTTTGGAAAAGTCTATAGAACAAATAATTTTATTATAACATTTTTATACTACGGGTTAACATTGTTTGATATTGAACATTTTACAAAATAAACATTCAAAGTTTTAGGCTCAAACTTTTACAGCCACGATAAATAAGCAACTTTTAACGACATACACGGTAGTAATTTAGACTTTAAAGTCATGTACCCAAATGGCTAAAATAAATTCTTCAATTCCATCACACATTTCCGTAACGATTATTTATGTACATCTCCGTAACCTATGTACATATATAAATTTTTTAATAAATATTTACATGAATATTTTCAGTTAAAAACCAAAATAAAAATATATCATACTAAATATAGGTAGTTTTAAAAACAAAATATTGATTATTGTTCAATTATTTAAAATCTGAGAATAGTGAATAAAATATTATAGCTTTTTACTATTATGATATATTTTTTCCTAGAACAAATTTTTTTTTTTGGTTATTAAAAAAATTTATCATCAGAATGTTAACGCGAATTTTATCACCGCTTTTAGTAATAATTAATGAAAATATAGGGACAAATATGTTTTATGTTGTATTAAGTAGAAGCTATGTGATTGCACCTGTTTAGATTTTAAGTCTTAGATGTGTTCCATTTTTCATTTTCATTTTTACATTTTCCATTAAATAATAGAGTTGAACTTCCGGGAATTTTATTTTCAAATTGCACAATATAAGTAAAATTCATGTATTTTTTGCACACTGTTAAATACAACGGTATAGTATTACATAAGTTAAGAATCACGACAACTGAAGAAAATAGCAGTTAACAAAACAATTGTTATATTAAATAGGTACTTAATTAATTTTTTTTCTTTACTGGGAAAAAAAACATTTTTATTTAATATTAATAATTGTTTAAGTTTTTTTTTTTTTAGATGAGTTAATTATTAAGTATTAAACAGGTACGTACACAGTCATAGTTAAAAAGTGCCTAGGTATCGTATTTACAATAAATTTAAGTAATCATTGATCGTTCTTTATTTGAATTCTATACGAGCACCCAGTTATCAATTCAATAAGATGTTTAGAATTTTCATTTATCGCTAACATGGTCGATCAATAGCTGTAGTTATAAAGTTAAAAGTGAAGTTAATTTTTACTTTTAATTTTGGTTTTAGCCCTTTTATTTGGTACATATTAGATTAACTTTTTTTTTTTTTTTTTATCAACAATGGATTAATTTTGAATTATCCCTACCGCGTAAATTTAATTACTATTTGTTATAATTTTAATACGATAATAAATTTATACTCTACAGAATATAATTTGAATAATGTAAAATAATATGAACGCCCGCTTTTGTATTTAACATAAATCATCCTTATTTTTAAAAATCACAAATTCTAAGTTTTCGCATTTTCACTATGACAATAACAATTTTACACTATTTTCAAATTACTTTTTAACTTGTTTAGTAGGTACCTTGTATCAATCAACTTGACTAAAACTAATTTAATATTATGATTAACTTGCATAGCCTTGAATAATTTCAATCAGTTCATCAATTCATTTCCTATCAGTTATTTTTATAATTAAAAATAGCTATTAATTAATATATTTTGTATTCCGTAATAGTTATATTTATTTACCTCTTTATAATATATGATAAATATATTATACTCATTCTTGTTAAAAAATACTTGATTTTAAACAAATTTAAGTAAAAATACAAATTTTTGTTAAAAATAAAAATGTACAAAATACTTTTTTTCCTAGACATTTGATACGATTTAAATGATTTCTGCATTTAATAATAAATTACAAACAAACGCTTGTTTGTGGATATTTAATTAAAATAAATAGCAACAATTTTTATCTTACATACTAGTAAATTCTTGAATTATTATAGTAAATGAGATTATTAGTTTAACTAACGCCAGGTAGATTGCGTTATTATAATGAATTATTGAGTTACAATAATACTTTTAAATACAAAAAAATAATTATATAATTTGTATTAATACCCTAAAAACAATATTGATGAAATTTTATTAAAAAATCTTAGTACCATTAGGTACCTACAAAACATTATTTTAGAAATAATAAAAATTTTAAATCGTAAAATACGAAATTATTTCAATATTTAATGGTAACATGAACAAAAGTATTTTATATTGTCGGATAAAAATACAATAATAACTATTTAAAATAGCAAATCAGTATTCAAATTCCTAATAAGACTGGTGCTACTAATGACACTTTGATTTAGTGGTACTTAATTATTGCGACTATCATCAATTATAATGATCAATTTTTATGATCGACACGATTGACTCGAATAGACTATAAAATAAAACTGAATTTGAACTAGTGAATGTCTATTATTATATTCAGTATTTTAAACGATCTAAAAAACACTAAATTATTTGATTTTGAAATATTATCAAATAAGTTTTTTTTTTTTTTTTTTTTTTTGCAAAATACGCATATTACAAATACTTAGTAAGAATTAGTTCCGATTAGAACCAAGTTGGTAAAAGTATATATTGATAAAATCAATATTTTGATTCGACATAATTCTGAGACGATATTATATTTTATTCTGTAGAGTTACGCAGACGTTTTGTGAACTATATTATTATAGCACATTACGTAGATAAATGTTTTGAAATTAGTTTTTTTTTTTTTCAAAATTAAACATAACTCCGTCTACAACGCATTATATTTCATATTATTGTTTACCAAAAGTGAATTGCATACAATATACAGTTTACATGATATATGAGTCTTTAATTGCATAATATATCCGATTCGCTTTATTGTTTGCAATATACACTGCGCATTGCCCAACAGCGTGAGTTTAAATGGAAATCCATGTTGTGTCGTCTATAGTTAACCACACAATATAATATTTTTACCGAGTTCCACGGCCGGTCTCCTTTTTAAATTTCCAATGAAAAAATAATATTTATATATGTGCGTATATTTATACACGTACTTAGGTATATAGTGACATAATAATTAATGAACCATACGGTAGTTCCGTAAGGGATTCGTAAAAAAAAAAAAGTCTGTGTGTGTGTTCTGCTCCTATACCTATATTATATCAACTGAAAGTTCCTTTGCTTCTTTTTTTTTTTTTGACCATCGAGCCACACCCAAATTGAACGCGGCGCAACTTGCTTAATGACAGCGCCCGGCGGATTTCATCGGTTTTAATTTCCTGCGCCGCTCTATACGAAAAGCTAATGGCGGTTTCGTGTAACGTACGGCAAATTGACGACGCTGCAAACAATATTTTGTACGAACACGTTGGGTACACTGAGGGTATTATATAGTTAATAGTTGCGCGCCTCTATATGCATATTACGCGTACCCACTGCTGCGTTTACAAGCTTCCTCTGGTCCAGGAAAACTTGGTACGGACCCAGAAACTCTGTATAGCATAGGGTGTAGCACTTATATGATTCACAATTATGGCCACGGCGAATCGATAATGTTCTATATATTACAATATTATTATTGTTACACGATAAATCAGCATAATATTATTAAGTTAAATTAGTCGAACGTTAAATTATTATATAACAAAGTTAAGTTTTAGATTAGGTTTAAAGTAATTCGCTGCTATAATATCGTAACTTGTTCATCAAAATAATTAAACGGAATTATTTATATGTATCATATCTCGCATATTATTACGTAATATTCCATTTCAATATTCCCACCCCAATAGAATTAAAAAAAAAAATTTACAAAAATAGGTATTTTATGGTTCCGTCGTCATAGATATAATATAGTAGCTATGCAATTGT